CTCTCTCTCTCTTTCCTTAAGTCGTCAAATTACATAAATTTAAATTATACAAAACTTTAATTTAATAAACTTTCAAGTATATGCCAAACAGATATTCAAGACTGATAAAAAAACAATTAATGTGGAACATATTTTAGAAATCATATGAGATCTGTAATATTAAGTTTTTGCATAAATAAATAAAATATAAAATCATATATAAACAGCGAATAAGGAAGCGATATTTGATACTTACGAGTATCTTAACACCCTGTCGCGTGTGCGGGTCCCACTCCAGGCGCGCGCCCACCGCCGGCCGCTCCGTGGGCCCGCAGCTGAGCGTCTTGCCGCCCACAGACCAACACGTCCATAACACAAACCCGTTTATCCGCTGACGTTCTTCTGTCTCCACATCCCTGGTTAGAGAAATCACAACATCTTCAATGCTACTTGGGGTCAAAAAGGTTCAATGCTAAACTAAAGATAACTAACAAAGGTGTTAAACTTTTTTTTTTTCATTACAAAAGTCACAAAAAATAACCGATTTTAAAATTATTGTAATTAAATGGCGTTATTTTTAATCTTAATTTTATACAAAAATGATATACATAATGTCAGGTACAGTCTGGGAATATGGCGGTGTTCTTTTTAAGCTTCAGTAGTTTGAAGGCTTTTATATGTGTCTGTACTAAAAAAAGGTCGGACATTACACTGATAATTAGTTTTTATGATTATCTGCTCTTAACAGAACTCAATGCTATCGAATTAGTTAATTGTAAGAGACGGAGTTTGTTTAGTTGCAAGCCACAAGGCAATTTTCCATTAAGTTTACCACAAATTTCCGCGACTGTACTAAAGTAAAATTACAATTTCTAACCAATAATTGGGCAATATTTAAAGTGTCATTTACGTGAAGCTATTAACACCATCAGTGGCGAGTTTCATCTTGAGATTTTGGAAGTCGACGGTAAGTAGTTTGCGCGGCAAGCCGCGGCAATTGCTCGGGTACTCCCACAGGGGCTGCGCCTCGATGTCCACATCGCTTAGTATACGGGAACTCTGCACATTACATGTTATACTCAGCTAGGACAACTCGTTATTGCAGGCATCCAGTGCCATAAAAATCATAGTAGCATTGAAAAGGTTAAAGTGATACAAAATGGTTTTAGCACATTCTTAAACCAAATTTACTAGTATTTAATCTTAATTATTAATTATCTAATATCCGCATATTATAGACGTTCTTTTTTTATTATATTAAAGTTTTTAAATCTGTCAGATTGTAAGTGATATTTAATAAGGGAATGTTTAAGTTTCTTTTCAGTATTCGGCTAAGTAACTACAGTAGAACTTCGATAAGTTAACGTTCAAGGAAAACACAAAATATTTTAAGTTATCAAAGGTCTATGTTATAGAGGTTTTGGGATCTGATTGGAAGGAACATATAATTTTTTGAAATTGTAGAGGTTTTTAAGTTACCAAGGTTTGAGTTATCGAGGTTCTACTGTATTAATTTATTTGAATATTTCTGTAGTATTTAAGCTACAACTTATCGTTTTAAACATATAATATAACTAGCTGTTGCTCGCGACTTCGTCCGCGTAAGGTTAAATAATAATAAAAAATATACCCTAAGCTACTCATGGATTAATTTCCTTTTTAGAAAGAATTTTTAAAATTTGGACGGTAGTTATTACGTGAATCAAATACATACAAAAATAAAAATCTTTCCTCTTTATAATAAAATAAAAAATAAAAATAATAAATTTCAACAAGATCCGTTCAACAGTTTAGGCTTCAAACTCTATCAAACATCCATCTATCCATCCATCCACCTAAACTTTCGCATTTATAATATTAGTATGAAGTATGATTAATTCAACATACCTCAACAAGTTGATCAAAGATAGTCATATCAATTCCTTCACAGACCTCTAAAGGTACTCTAATCTTGTGCAAATCCAAAAACTCGACCGGCATCGCCCAGAACTCACAGCCTTCAGGTATTATTGAGATTGTATCTCGTAATTTACCTCTATACTGGTGTAAAAGGTAAGCAATTTTGAGATTCTCCCAAGGACTTATTGTGTTACTAAAATTAGGATCACATGTTACATTTGTAACCTCTTTCAATATATGATCACTAACTTCCCCAACAATCGTTACATTTTCTAGAAAATTCTCTTTCATATAGTCATGTAGAATTCCGATATTAAATTTATTATCTTCTAAAATAAAAACATGCTTCGCGCCAAGTTTAGCCGCTGCCAGACCTAACAAAGTGCTACCATTCAGATCTAGAACGATAGCATCTCTGACCAATTCTTCTTTAAGTCGTGCTAGAAGTTTCTTACTTCTTTTACCATCATTTAAATATGATACATGTGTTCTTGACAATGCCATATGGACTCCGCATTCACACACCGGTCTTTGGTAATTTTTGTATCTGGTCTTTTGGTCTTCTAAGTAGAACCAGAGGGAGTATTCGTCTTGACATGAGATGAGAGTGAGTTCGGTGTCTTTATGTACGGTTAGTTCCTGTGGGAGGTAGTAGATTGCTTGCATCCAGTGATCTCTCCAGGGTATTGTATCCTGTGGTCTTTCCGAAGATAAATCTGCATCAGGATGACACCACCAGGGTGCACAACTTAATACTATTTTACCTGTAACAAATAAATTAAGTTTATTGATTGATTACATTTCTTGTAGAAAAATAAAATAGCAAATTTGCAGTAACTTCTAAGACTAGTTTACTATTACTATACTCTTTTTGTCTACCCTACTTATGTGAAATCTATACTTCTATACTATTATAATAAATCATAAACACAAACTTCTTTGTTGTCTAAGATTTCAGCAATTACAGTGTAATTTTTTAACAATTCTTATCTTTAGTAAAAAGCCCTACACGTGAGTCACGCTTTAGGCTGTATATTTTAACGCCATTAAACTTGGGTAAATATTTTGGATAAAAACCCTAATGTGGGAAAGAGACCATAAGTTGCTGCCAACATTAAGGAAGCAAGGTTTTCATCATGTCATGTCATTTTGACATTTGTAATTGATAATTTGACAAATGTAAACAATAAAACAAAATTTTCATAATTTCATGCGGATGAAGTCACATGGGAACAGCTTTAATCTATAAATTCAAATTATCTGTATTGGATACTAAAACTATATTTTCTTATTTCATGCACATGACGTATTCTTACGTTACCTACTTCTACGTTTGTTCCAATTGAACTTCGAATCGACTAGACCGATTTTAACAGGACTTTATATAGTAAGTAGCTAATGAATTAGAGAGTGAGATAGGCATATCTAGTTTTACTCAATCAGTATTTAACGAAATACATAGGTTTGATATATTTACGCCTGATTACTATTGATGTATCGGCCTTGCTCGTAGGAGTCGGTATCGGTTGCCGTGGAAACAATTTAGTGGGATATCGTAAATTCTTTTGTTTCAGTTTGGGCTTGATTTTAACTACTTTTCGATCTGAAGAAATAATTCAACATTTTATTCTACGCGGATGAAGACTTTAACCCCAAAATTCCGTGACACTTAATATTATCTCATACTAGTGATCACCTATTTCCTATTTCAACCTTCACCAGTTTGATAACAAATTAAAAAATAGATTTGTCCACATTTCCCGCTTTCACAATTCAAATTGAGAAATTTCCTTCAAAGGTACAAAGTTTTCACTTCAAATATTAATATAAAGATTATAGTCTGTCTCATTTTATCAAAGATAACAAAAGAGATGACAATATCCAACATGTCACAGTAATATTTACCTTCTGTATCCATATTAAGTTCCCACCACATAAACACCATCTGTGCTTTCCCTGTATTAGTTACTGTAAACTCTTGTTTGACAGTCTTCTTGAGATCGATGGGACTTTTACCAGACCAGTCATAGTAGAACACTGGTATCTGTTCCGATAGTTCACGAAACGCTTTACGAGGTAGCTGAGATAGTTGTACATCATGTACCGCAGCTGAACCTGCACAGTCTTTCATCTGAAATTAATAAATAAATAAATTAAATATATGCATTCAAAATCACAAATACAGTATCTGTTGACATCCTTTTAAGTAAAAATAATCACTTGTGCAATACAATTCATGAAATTGTGAGTAATTATGTATATACAGAGAAATATATGAAATAGAAGTGAACAAAAATAATAACAAAAACATATTTATGAAAAATTAATCAAAACCATTGCTAAAGATTTTCATTAAGTTTCAAAACATTACAAGTAGTATGAACAGTATTTTTTAAATAAAATTTGAATCTAAGTAGGTGTAACATTATTTAAAATACTTATGGAACATGGTCTCACTACTACAAAGAACAATTTATATAAAAAAAAAGTAAAAATTCATGCAGTTAATAAAATTATGAGTAAAACAAACCTTTTGAGGTGTCCTCAAGATAATATCTAAATCTTCATCGGCTAAATCATTTAATTTATTCCATTTCTGCATTGTGGGACATTCAACAACTTGTGCATAAATCACAGCTGAATCTGGCACTACTATACAATCTTCCTCTAAAAGATACTTGTGTGCATGGGTAAATGTTGCAAGAGCACCTAGAATAAACATGTAACACACATTTAATGTTACATTTTAAAAATTACAGAACTTATTTCAAACATGTTAAATTAACTGTAAAAAACATTCATGTGGGAAAGGGACCATAAACTATAAGCTGCCAACATTAAGGAAGCAAGTTTATGGTAATGGTAATTTTAACATTTGCAATTGAGAATTTGACTAATGTAAACAATTAAATTAAATTCTTATAATTTCATGCATGAAGCCACACTGGAACAGGTAGTTCTTACATAACACTCTTAACCTCCCTGTCCATAGTAAAAAAGGGTGACAGAAATATCACCCAGAGTGCTAGTAGCTTCATAACTTTCAGCTGATCAGTTCAACCAGTTCAGAGCTATTTTACATATTTATTTGAAACAATCTACATACCTTCACCAATCAATTCAGTATCAAAGACTTCTGTGACTAAAATATTTGCCTTTTCTTTCATATCTCCGTTCTCACCAACAACAATATCAGTTGAGCGTTTCGGTATGACAGTAATTTTGTCAGCAACATTATTACGCTGCAATATCTTAATGCAGCACTCTGCCATTGGTTTGAATGCTTCACACGCGACAATAGAGTCAGCACCGCATTTTGCTGCCATTATAGAAAGAAGACCTGTCCCTGTGCCTAAAATTATTAAACAGCATTTAAGAATACTAAGGTAATTTACTCTAGAATAAAATAATTCTTCCTCCAAATAAGATTAATAAGATATTTTACTTGGAATATGCAAAATATACTTACCAATATCCAAAACATTAGCTTTTTTTCCATCATTATGCATTTTTTTAATAGCCAACCTTAATGCTCTATAATACTTTTGATTTCTTTCTTTATCGTGTAGCATATCAGCAAACCCTGAACGCGCTATTTCCTGATGATAATCATAATTTTCAGGCTGCAATTCCCAATCAGTACTTCCCGTAATGGGGTTACGGTTCTGTGTGAAAACTTGCATAGTTTTGGCAGTACAGCTTCTAAATCTATAACAATTAACGTCAATTAAAAACATTTTTACATTTATCAATAACCGGTATCCTCCGACCTCTGTTCCTTTTTTAGCAGCGAGATACATACCTTATAACGAAAGACAGTGAAATACTACTTTTATATGAGTGCAAAACTGTAAACATTTAGTATCTCAATATACCTTTGTCTCAATTCATTTATAGACACCGTTTAATCCAAAAAAAAAACATTACAAAAACAATGTGCCGACCCTTTTGCCACAATATTTAAGAATTGATTGACATTTGACATTGGCAGTGACAGTAAATTGGTATAAAACGTGTTTGCATAGACAACAGATATCGAAAAAATAAGGCTTATACAGGAAAACTTGAGTTAAAATTAATTAGAACTGGGACTGTTGTAGCCATTTATTTATACTTAATGTCATTTCTGACTACACTTATACAATATTATTATCGACATAGGCATTCTCTGACTATCGCATTGAGTGATTTAGCGTGATTGTATTTATTCTGCAGCGCTTCAAGATTTCGTATTTTTCGTGATGGCAGTTATGTTGTCATAGTTGTCATTCGAATCTTTCATTACGACGTTTTGCTATCATGGCGGCCACCGTCGGCAGGATTTGTGGGGCTCGACTTTTGAAAAATTATGGCTTAGTTGGACCCCAGGTATACGTAATATCTAAAAATTACGTTCTATGCTCAAAATAGTATTTAAAAACAAATTTTGAGTATCTATATTGTAAAAAAAATGAAAACGTAAACCTTGTGAATTCAATGTAAAACGGGTGTATTTTACGATTTTTATAAGTTAGAGTTTGCTAAATGTGGTGAAAAATGTGGCTCAGTAAAACGTATGAGATCTTGCGTTAGCTCAGTTCTGTAATAGAATTTCATGGCGAGTGATAACCTTCTCAACATTATGTAACAAGTGCAGAAAACTAATGGACCCTATACATTGCAGGTATGTCAGCTGTCCACAAGTGCTCAAGGATGGACGAAGAGTAGGAAATTGGTAAGTCTAGATTTTTTAATTCCTTCATACTTTTATAATTATAAGTATGTAACCTTAATGTTATGTCAAAATTACGTACTTTATGACAATTAGAAACACTGAGTACTCCATAACTCAATTTAATTTATGTACTATTCTAATTGTCATCGATTTTTTTGAAGTTCAAGATAACAGATAAAAATAAACAATCTGCTGCTTTCTTTATGGAAAAAAAAAACATTATATAGCTACTTAAGTTTTCATACACTTATTTTCAGCTCCTGTCGACGTTAGGTGTAATAGGAGGTGGTGCTGGGGCCTTGCTGTTTGCCCTTGAGCAGTCTGTGGATGCATCAGGCTCTGAGGCCCATCCATACCACCAGCCCTGGAGCCACAATGGATGGTTCCAATCACTTGACCATGCCAGGTAAGTTTTTCATATACTTTCTTTTAATAAATAACATATATGTTCGTCAATTATCACTTAAAAAACATTATCTCAAAGGAAATTATAATTTTTTTTTGAAAAAGGGTGAGACATTATTTACTGAAATAAAGTTTTTTCAATTATGTTGAAAGAATCTGGTGGCTCTAAAAGAAATCTAGGAAAAATAAAAACATCACAAGTGGATCCTTAGTTAGACAAGGTTCTAACTACATGTGACATACATCCAGTTTATTGATTTTTAATTTAACATTATGTAACATGAAATTTAGTTTCCATATACATATAATATAATAACTGTCTTCTGTACCTTTAATCTATAACAATAATCAGAATGTTGTTAGAATGTTTTTTCCATTAGAATTAGTGATATGAAAAATTAACTGTTTTATGTAATGTATTATTTATCTTGATACCTACTCATCTTTTATATAAATTGTATGATAGTTATGTAATCCCTGCAGTATTGAAGAGTTTAACAGAAATTAGAGATGTAAAAACATTTTACACTAGCTATTGCCTGCAACTCCATCCATGCAGAGCATTTCTTTAAAGAAACTTAGTAAGTAGCATATATCCTTTCAGACTATGCTCTACATCTTTGCTAAATTTAATTGAAATCTGTTGATCCATTATGGAAATACATTATAAAACACCCATTAAAATCTTTGTACTAAAATATTACAAGATTATAACACATTTAGACCTTTTAATAAGCAGAGTGCAAAATTATAGGAAATACTTTGTTTTCAGTGTGCGCCGTGGTTATGAAGTATACAAGCAAGTGTGCAAGGCTTGCCATTCACTACAGTACATTGCGTTCCGTAACTTGGTGAATGTGACACATACTGAGGCAGAAGCTAAGGCTGAGGCTGCTGAGGTTTGTATTTTAACTTTGATTACAGTAGAACCTTGATAAGTTAAAGTCCAAGGGAAACACAAGCTATCAAGGGTCTATGTTATAGAGGTTTTGGGCTCTGATGGAAAGGTTTTTAAGTTACCAAGGTTTGAGTTATTGAGGTTCTACTGTACAAACAGGGCCAGTGTTAGTATTACCTAACTGCAATACATACTCATTACAAAAAAAGGCCCCAGTGGACCTTTTATTTTATTAGTGAAGAAGAAGAAAGAAAGTAGAAGTAAAGTAGAAGTTTGTGGGCGACAGGTCGTTATAAATACAATCTAAATTTGTGCCATTTCAGAACAAATGAACAGACAAAAAATCATTGAAAGTGTAATTATTTGATTTCTGAAAATGTTCACAGACTTAAAAAAAAATAAAAGGTCCATTCTAATTTTCCAGTGATAAAATATGTTATTTGTTACATAAATTCCTTATCATCATTTATAGGACTTGTGCCCATTGTTTTAATACTTATCTTTTTAATGATTTATCAATTTTTTATTTAGGTAATGATCAAGGATGGTCCTGATGAGGAAGGAAATTACTTTGAGAGGCCCGGCAAGCTCTCCGACTACTTCCCCTCGCCATACCCCAATGAAAATGCTGCTAGGGCTGCCAATAACGGTAAGCATATTACCAATATTTTTACCTGCATATGAAATAAAATTTTAACTATACATATTAAATAAAGAAAAAAATCTTTAAGTAGATACATAAAAAGTTAATCTCTTGTCATTTTTTTTATGAAGAAGGGGAAATTTTACCTGAGGTTAGAGAGTTAGTTATAATAAATATAATAAGGGAAATAAAAATAAAAGTTTAAAACCGTAGATTTAAAATTAAGGAATAGAAAATTACATTTACATTAAGTTAAAAAAATAAATCACAGAGTTCTCTTCTAGTGGTTGCTCTTTGCTTATTTTCTGTAGATCTAATAAAATTTATGGTAAAACAAGTGATACTTGCCCTCTAATTAAGTGTTGAATTATCGTAGGCGCGTACCCGCCGGACCTGTCGCTGATAGTGCTGGGCCGCAAGGGCGGCGAGGACTACATCTTCTCTCTGCTGACGGGCTACACGGACCCGCCCGCCGGCGTGCTGCTGCGCGAGGGCCAGAACTACAACCCCTACTTCCCCGGAGGGGCCATCGCTATGGCACAAGTACTTTTTGATGAAGTAAGTACACATTGATGTATCGCTAACCTAGGGCTTTCATACATTAAAAAATAACAAACTGGCTTTTGCCTGTGACCCTTGCCGCACAGAATTTGAAAAAAAATAAGAGAAGTGAGTTCTTCCTGACTGTTATATATCTATGCCAACATCAAGATCCATTAAGCCACTCCGGAAGAGACCTTTTATCAAATATACATCCATCCATCTAAACATTCTAATTTATAATATTATAGTAAGAAGTAATATTTTAATGCTTAAACGACGATAAACGCCTTTGCCATTAGCTAAGAATTTAAGTAATCATGGCAACCTTGCTTCTTTGTTGCTATTGACTTGTAGGTTTTGTCACTTTCTTGCAGAGCAGTTTTTCTAATTTACTTACCCTTTAAGTTGAATAGCTTAAAAATATTTAGCCTAAAGCTTGTTGTTATTGTAGGGCTTTTCATTAAATGAATGTTATTCAAAAATATACTGTAATTGCTGATATTCTACATAACAAGTGTGTGTTTACGGTTTTCTGGTGTTTGTTAAGAAAAAGTATTATAATATGCAAATATTTTAGGCTGCGGAGTACAGCGACGGTACGCCGGCGACCGCGTCGCAGCTGGCCAAGGACGTGTCCACGTTCCTCCGCTGGTGCTCGGAGCCGGAGCTGGACGACCGCCGTCTGATGACCATTAAAGCCATCGGCATCTTCTCCACCCTCGCCGCCATCGTCTACTACTACAAGCGGCACAAATGGAGCACCCTCAAGTCCAGGAAACTAGCTTACAAACCAGTATCTAAGAAATAAATACCGCTAAAACAAAGAGTAGTAACAAATTGTACTGTTTTAGACATTTTTTTTTCTATAGGCACAAGACGTGTATTTGTTTATAATTAAATTAATTTATTTCATAAATACCAATGTTTATTTCTTTCCTGGAAATATGCAATCATGTAGTTATTGACGTCTGTTACCATGTTGACCTAACAAGAACTGTTGTGGGATGTGATTTTTATTATAAATATTTAATGTTAGACAAATGCCATCATTTTAACACAGTCAAATTAACTTTAAATTTAGTTAATGTGCTAAGAACTGTGCTTGTGATGTTCTATGGGTTAAACTGAATCAGTGTACAGTTGAATAAATGAGTTATCCAAAATATAACGAATGGTGTTTTATTGGTTAAACATTCTGAACAGTGAGATCAGGTATCATAAATGAACAGATTTATGAAATGAGATTGAACCACACAAAACCTGATCAAAAAATTTCTAACTGGAAAAATAGAACTGAATATAGGTTTATTTTAAATAAATTTGTTAGAATTTTTTTAAATAAATTTGTTATATTTGATAGGCCCGAAGTTCTTTTTTCGTGTCCAAAACTAATACAAAAGCTTTAAAACTGTGTCGCCCTACTAATCGTACTAATGCATTCTGCAAGGTTAAAAGCAGTCTCTCACGTGTCAGGGGTTAATTCTGAGATAAGTTTTAAAGCAAATTCGAGCTTGATGACGAGATTTTGCAGTTGAACTTGTAGAAACGTTTTAATCACAAGTAATTATAAAAAAAAAATAAAGTTAACGCATGAAAAGTTTTATTACAAACAGAATAAATGGATATCCTACCGATTTCCGTTTACAAATGTACCAATTAAAATTTTCTTTTGATACCACTGGCAACACTTTGTTGATAAGTCAAAACAAAAATAATGTTATGGTGCTCAATTATCTAATAAGTTAAGCAATTTAAGAAATATTTTTCTCCTTAATATGAATGCTATCATCGGGCTATGCCATTTTTGCGAAGCTCACGGCCCTCGTCCACTATTTTGTACATTCACCACGGATGACGAGAACCATACAACGGAGTCTTCGAAGTCTTCCGTTCAGTGCAGCGGGTGTACTTCTTTGGGTCCTGAAACTGTATTAGTATCAAGAGAAGACGATGGGACAATATATTGCAGCAGGGAATCTGTGCCAAACGCTGGAGTAAATACATTCTTACGACAAGCAGCTGTAAGAAGTATAACATGTGAAGTGAGTTCCTAAGAAAATTAACAACTTATAAATCTTAAAACTATATAAAATTAGTCTTGTAACACGTAATAATTGACAATAACTTCAATTCACTACCATATTTAAATAAGTAGCTTTTCATACCATCGAAATGAAAAATGGTACATTTTGAATTATGTTTTTTAGGTGAGCTGGAGTAAAGAGGGTGGAGTAGTATACTTCAGTGAAACACAAGGGCATGTACTTAGTCTAATGTTTCAAGTTAAGGATACTAGAGCTCGAGGATTGAAAAGATGGTTCTCAATTGTTGTACTGATGAAGGATAAAATGTTACTCCTCAATTTAACTCCTATGCTATCAGAGCATATGCAGAAAATATCGAAAGAGCTCCAACATTTAACCGATGAGGTGTATGAGAAGGAACAAAGCATCTGTTCACAAAGAGCATTGAGGTTAAAGACGGGAAGGAATGATTTCGGACAATCAAGGTCCTTAATACAATTAACTGGTAAAATTTTAATTTACTAGTCTCAGTAACTTTAAAAGTATCTTAGTATCATAATCCAAATTTATCTTATTATGCCTAAATGTAAAAAACTACACTTACATTCAAAATGTAATAATAGTAGTGTACTTTTTTATACTCTGTATATGTTTTTTCACATTTTTAGGTGATGAAAATGTCTACAAAAGACTCCATTCACATTTTACATGGATGTTAAAAACTGGTGCTCTGACATATTCTGAAACTCTATACACCAGTAAGGATTTACTTGACAAGATATGTCCAAAGACAATGAAAACCACAATATTTGAGCAAGACATTTGTTTGTCAAATTATGATGGTGAAGTACCAATTAGATCTTTAGAAAATCTATTAAGCAAGTCAATATTTAGAATATTGTTATATTGTATTTTAACAGGAATAGATGTAAGTAACATATTTCTTTATATATATATATATTTGTTTTTAAATTAGTATATTGGAGCTATGTTAACATTCTAAAATCTTTCAGTCTTATATTTTTAAATTTTGATACTGTAAAAGATTGGTAGTTTTTAACTCATAAAATTTTATTATTACTCCATGTTGTAACTGTAACAAGTACATGTTACTTTAATTTACTAATAGCATATTATATTTTCACAGGTTATAGTGAGTTCAAATATTACAGAAGCAGCAAACATTATTAAGGGATTATTATTGTTTTGTCCAGTTCCTAGTGATGCGCAATGCAGAATATCTAATGAAGATATTAATGTTGCCACATCTAAATGTTGTATTTTAGGGAAAAGAGAGAATTTCGAATGCAAATGGTCAGGGATACTACCTGAAAAATGTTAGTATATATCTTGAGTACCAATTTAGTGTTTATGTACTTGATTGTTTAGAACTTTGTGCTGCTTCAATTTAGTTTGCATTGCCTTATTAAAATTTAAGAGGATTTTTATATTTAAAACAGGTCCAACTTTGATGAACAGAATAGAGGCAGCAATTGATAACCAAATGTTCAAAGATCCAACACTCCATCATCATATTAAATCATTATTACTGGAGTGGTTAGGGTATGTATAGCAAATCTAAATATATTAACTATGTTTTGTATGATTCTTTTGTCAGTTTTTATATTTTTCAGGATTGCAAATACTTTGAAATCAGCAATATCATCTTCAGGACGTAAATCTGATGCGATAGTGAAATTAAAACAAATACTTGGAGTAATGCCACATGATGAAGTGCTATTAAATTATTGGATGAATACATTTTGTAGTTAAGTATAAACTGTGATATTTAAATGTATTTATGGAATTTATTTACAATTTATTAAAAAAAAAATTATAAAAAGCAATTTTATTTTAATTCCATCCGAGTCTAAATACATTTGTTTTATGTATGAAATAAATCTTTATGGTGTACAATTCTTTAAAAAACTAGTAACTCAGTCCTTGCATTAACTACTAGAAATATTGTAAAGTATTTATGCCTAGTACACACTTGGCAAATAACATTGGATTGTATGTAGTGCAGGCAGGTGCCAGTTAGTGTTCACATTACAAGTACTACTGTCCAAGTGTGAAACATCATGGTTGGGGTACAGCCATTAGGAGATTATAAATAAAAGACAATATTAGATAGTACTCCTTATATTAAAATGATTAAACGTTGGAGCGTCTGCTGGGGCGCGCGCGCTCGTGTCCCTTGGTGCGTACATAGGGCTTGGTGTGTGAGCGAGGTGCACCAGGTGCGGGCCCAAAGTGTCGCACTGCCTCACGCGCGTTCCTGCGTCCTTGGATCAGCACCGTCTTACGGCCAGTCGGCGCGCGGAGAGCCAGCTGATCGAAGGTAAGGATTTCTCCTGGAAAGAGATGAAAAAATTAGATATTTGTAATATAAATTAACCTAAAGGTGAAAGAATTTTTTAAGTCGGTACTGTAGTTTTATGTTTAGTTCATACAAAAATACAAATCTTTCCTCTTTATTTAGTATTGATGAGTTAATTAGAACAAAAAGAAATGCATATTTTGCATTCTTAGAATAGTAGGTAAATCATAATTGCAAACATTTCACATCATAACAGTAATTGTTTGAAAAATGAATTCATTTGGAGTGGTGCTGATTTTAAATTGCATAAAAACTTTTTCGAGATCATTAATAAGATTTGAGGAATAAAAATTAACTTTGTTTTTATTCATTTTCTTTGCTTATATATTGAAATTATGATATTTTGCATCAATAGTGATCATTAAGTGATCTATCTAAATTAACTACATTTCATTATTTGTGTCAAACAGGGAGGTATTAGTTATTTTTTTGTATAAGCAATAAAGGGAAATTTTGAGAAGAATCATCTATGTCTAAAATACTGAAAATAAACTATGAATACCTAAATATCTAACCTGTAAAAATGTTTTGAAAAGATGGAGCAAATTTTTGAAGTTATTTTATATAAGGTCTTTTTAATCCTCTTTAGTGCTCTGGATTAGGTATCACTATGTTTTAACATACAGGAATAGACTATAGCCACGTGAATATAATTAAATTTGTGATCATAAGTATTTTATAACTAGCTATCGCCCGCGACTCCGTCCGCGTGAAATAAAAAAATAATTGTCAGTAGCCTATGTGTTCTTCTGGACTATCCTCTATATCTATATCAAATTTTAACTAAATCAGTTCAGCCTTTTAGGCTACAAATTCTAACAAACATCCATTCATCCATCTAAACTTTCGCATTTATAATATTAGTATGATGAGCAAACAGTATTGTTTACATTATTACTTGTTTTGAAAATATATGATGGAAAATTTACAATAATAATGCAGCGAAAGGCATTATTGGAAAGTTATAGATAAAATTAAGAATAATACAATATTTAAGTAAAATGTTCGAGGAAAATTTAAGTCCACAGTATAACATGCTTTCTAACCTTAAACACGTTTGTTATTAAAAGTTTGCATTTTATTATTACTGACCTCCAGCAGCCAAGATCCGAGCACGAGCCTTCTCAGTAACGTGGAGTGCAGCCACTGTCAGCTTGGGGACCGTGTATAGGCGCACGTCATTGGTGATCGTACCAACGACCACCGCAATCAGACCCTCGCGCGTCGGCTTCTTCATGTGACGTGACAGACGAGACAATGAAATCGGTGGTCGGTTGATGCGGCTCATGAAGAGACGGCGCAAAATAATCTGGTTGAACTTAGCATTTGTACGTCTGGCTAAGTATCTGTACAACTGTAAACAAAGAAAGTTTGGTTATATTTCTGACAAGTGCCATACACGATTGTTATACATACATTATGAATCTTATTACAGGTACATTATAATTACCTTAACCAAAAGCCTAAGGTATATATCCTTAGACTTGACTTCGGTGCGCCTAACTTTCCTGTCGTGTTTATGGTTGATGTCCACTCCCTGAAATAAGGAATAAAACACATATTTACATCACTGCTCTATTCGAAAAACACTTAAAACTTTCACAACACTACGTTTTCACTTCGATTTTTGTAGATTTATTTTATATTTGCTTCAACAAAACTCACCATCTTGACAACCGGAAGAAAAAGAGGGTTCAATAGACAATAACACTATTTGACTTTTCTGATCAATGTTACCAGCATAACATTTTTAAATGTTATCCATAAACTACTTTTCTTGTTGCCAGTTATTATTCTAAAAATAAACCAAAAAAGTAAAAATAACCATGGTGTAAATAAAAAAATGGGAATGACTCAAGCGAATCGATTTTAAGAGTATCCGAAACCAACGACCATTATATACGTAGGTCTATGAAAGTGGAAGAGACCTGAGAGCTGTATCAGAAGCACGCAAATTGGTAATCCGTAGTCTCTGCCTACTACATACCTCTCTTGCGTGCAAGCGTGAGTTTTAGTAATAGTTTACATTAGGTTTCACTACAAACTACTAATTTTCATAGGTGAAACCAAATCAGGCAGGTGAAACATCGCGACGAGTTCAAATATTTAAATACTTAATAAACAAATGAATACCTATGACTTTAAATATGTCATCGCGACAGAAAAGTTTCGACCGCCGTTTTTTCGGAAGTGATGGAATTTAATACGAAACATAGAAAATTATCTAAAACCAAAAATTCCGCTCGTACTCCATCCGCCAATAAGCCTCGTTTAACTAAAAAGAAGACGGTTACAAGAAAGCGTAAATGTGTTTGTTTGCCTGAAAATTATTCAATTGTTGAGTTTCCTGCTATTTGGAATGAATTGAGACAGAACGATCAGCTATGCGACGGCACAATTATATGCAGAGATATGAAATCCATTCGGATTCACAGAGCAATTCTATCAGCGGTCAGTCCTTACTTTAAAGCAATATTTGTAAATTCGCTGAAGAAGGGACAACCTGAAGAGACTGAGATATTTGTAGATGTTCCAAGTTATTACATGGGGTTGATTCTAGACTATGCATACACAGGCACGTGTACAGTAACAGTAGAAAATGTTGAAAAATTGTTGCCGTATGCTGATCAATTCGATGTTGTGGGCATTATTCAACTGTGTTGCCAACTACTAATGCAGGAACTGAGACCGCACAACTGTCTTGGAATATTTAAATTTGCTAGATGCTATTTCTGCAGCGAATTGGAGAAGAAAGGTAAATTGTATATAAGACAGAATTTCGCTAGAATTCTTAAAGAATGCAATGAATTCAAATCATTGTCGTATGAAGAATTAGAGGACATACTGAGAGACGACGAGCTCAATGTTCGAAATGAAGAAATAGTATTCCAAGCAGTTAAAACGTGGGTAGAACATGATTTAGAAAACAGACGAAAATATGTGCCTGCTTTGCTATCGTGTGTGCGATTTGGGCACATAAGCTATAAATATTTTAAATCCAAAATACTTCAGTGGCAACCGGTAGCTGATGACGAGGTGAGAGTGGCTACAATTTAA